CAATTTACAGACAGAAATGTCAAAAATGTTACAACTATCCCCGGTCTCCCCTACTAAAACTATGACCACAGGAAAAAGGTCACAAAGACTGACTGTCAGGTAAGAAGGGATTACCACCAATGCAATGGTCTGACTGGACCCTGCATTCATAAACACAGGACGCTCTGTAGGTACCCCACACCCATCCGTGTGATTAACACAGAGCACTTCACTGTAGAATACAGCAGCCCCTCACCCCCGTTTTCTTATTCTGAACTGCTCCTGCCCCTCCCCAGACACACCGACCTTAGTAGGATCCATCCCCAAGTTGCCATTAAGACGAGCGCGCAGCTGTGGCACACCGAAGACCCACGCGCAACGGCAGATCATCAATGAATGATATTCGGTGTAGATAGGTGGCAGTGTGTTTGGTGTCAACCACACGCAGGAGTTATCTTTATGACGAAACAGCATCTCCAGTTTTATCTTTCGACTAATTCGAAGCGCGCGTAAAAACTGAGCTAAAATAATGTTGACAAGCGCCTTGGCAAAGATACCGTTCCTCCTGTCGTGGGGTTACTTAGTGCTGGCCACGCGGGTCGCGTTCTCCAACTTCTCCGTGGACAATGAAGTGCGCTCCAGCTTTATCCAGCGGCGACTGAGGGGCCAGGAGCGCAGAGAGATGCAGCGGGAGATCCTCTCCATCCTGGGGCTGCCGCAGCGTCCGCGTCCGCACGTGCACACTAAAAGCAATGCCGCCCCAATGTTCATGCTGGACCTCTATAACACTATTAGTATAGACCCAGAACAGCACAGGTATTCAAACTACGAGACCGTTTTACCAACGCAGACCTCCCCACTGGTGACCCCACAGGACAGCCGATTCCTAGAAGAAGCAGACACGGTGATGAGCTTTGTAAACCTCAGTGAGTAGAGCATGTGCGACTTTTGAAGTCAGGAAGTGTGTTTACTTGGTTGTTAGCGTTGTATCATTTGATTTAACCTGTTTTCTCTAACTCCTCCATGCTTAGATATATATTTAAGTACCCTAAGATTATATCACTTTTATGCACCAAGAACACGTCATTCATCCACATCTGAAACTCCTTCATATCCAAATGACTAAGTTACCCAACCAACCTTGTTTATGTGGATGGTTTGATTTAGTCATCTCAGAATTCAGTTTTAGAATGAGCCCTTTCTCTTTTTTAGTTTGTTTCCGGCAGCTGCAATACAACAGACAGCATTAAATGTTTCTGTCTGTCTCTCGTTTTTCTTTTATAATCTGTTGTTTCTGACTTTTACTTTTGGTGACTTTCTTTAGTTGAAATCAAGCATTATGCATTCCAAGCTGTAAATGTTATGACAACATGTATGTATCTGGTTTCCCCAGAACCCCTTCAAAGCTCTCAGGGAGAGCCTTTAGCATTGCTTAGTTTCACATGACTAGAAATTGAACAGGCATTTCTCAAGTTCAAGGGAGTGAGAGATGAGTCGATGAAGACCGAGATATAAACTGCATCTAAGCATGGTTATTGGTTTAGTAATCTTCCAGGTGCCTGTGCGTGCATTCTTCCGTGCTTGCTTGAAGGGCAGTGGGAGCTTGGGTTTATTCAGACATTACTGAATTTATAAAAGGCAAATCCTGCTTTGTTTTCCATGGAGATCGTGTGGAAGCTCCAATATTACTATGGGAAATCAGCAGACCACATGCTGTTTGAGTGTGTGGTTACATCCCAAACCAGCTCTGATCTTTGGGCTTGCACAGTTTTATTTAGGTCAATGTGCAGAGAGTGGGGTTTGGTCACCTGAAATATGTCTCCAAGAAATCATTAACCTCCCTTTCTGATTGGTTGTCAGTGGCATCGAACTGAAGCTTTATATAACAGGGCCTATTAGAGTTATTTCTTTTCCAATGAGCACATAAAGATGTAGTTAATACAAAACATTTGGAGACCACAAGAAAATCTCAAACATAACATTTTATGTCCTCAGTCCTGAACTTTTAACTGACAGTCCTTAGCTAATGAGATCTGGAAAGCTGTTTCTGAAAACCAACAGCAGATTTGTGTGGTTTCACATTTGAGAACTTTGATTGTAAAGAGCAGTGAGAGGGGGGGACAGAGAAAGAAACAATGAGTGTGTATTATTTTGCTGTCAGGCTCACCACAGCCTCTTGTGCAGGCTCCCACATCGTGCTAAAGTGACTCTATCTTGGTGGTCTCTCGATGATTGCTTCAAGAGTGAACTGGATTACGGTATTTCCCTTCCAAAGACCGCAGCTTCCAATATGACGGAGAGCTGCTGCAACTAATTTTATCCTTTTATATAAATCC